AACAGAGGAAACTCAAATGGCCGAAAGACATTTAAGGAATTGCTCAACATCCCTAATAATCAGGGAAATGCAAATCAAAACAACTCTGAGATACCACCTTACGCCTGTCAGAATGGCTAAGATCAAAAACACTGAAGACACCTTATGCTGGAGAGGATGTGGAGCTAGGGGAACTCTCCTCCACTGCTGGTGGGAATGCAAGCTTGTACAACCACTTTGGAAATCAAAATGGTGCTTTCTTAGAAAACTGGGAATCCATCTCCCCCAAGATCCAGCTATACCACTCTTGGGCATATACCCAAGGAATGCTCAACCACACCATAAGAGCACTTGTTCAGCTATGTTCATATCAGCATTGTTTGTAATAGCCAGAACATGGAAACAACCTAAATGCCCTTCAACTGAAGAATGGATAAACAAAATGTGGTACATATACACAATGGAATACTACTCAGCAGAGAAAAACAATGACATCATGAGGTTTGCAGACAAATGGATGGATCTAGAAAAAATCATCCTGAGTGAGGTAACCCAGACTCAGAAAGACAAACATGGTATGTACTCACTCATAGCAGGATACTAGACATGAAACAAGGATGACCTGTCTGCTACTCACATCACCAGGGAGGCTACCTGGAAAACAGGACCCCAAGAAAGACACAGGGATCGCCCAATGACAGAGAAATGGAATGAGATCTACATGAACAGCCTGGACATAAGTGGGGGTAGTGTAAGGCGAGGGTAGAGGGAAAGAGAGCTTGAGGGAGCAGGAGATCCCAGCTGGATCAACAACAGAGAGGGAGAACAAGGAATAGGAGACCATGGTAAATGAAGACCACATGAGAATAGGAAGAAGCAAAGTGCTAGAGAGGCCCACAGAAATCCACAAAGATACCCACACAACAGACTGCTGGCAATGGTTGAGAGACAGCCCGAACTGACCTACTCTGGTGATGGGATGGCCAAACACCCTAATTGTTGTGCTAGAAACCTCATCCAACTACTGAGGGATCTGGATGCAGAGATCCATGACTAGGCCCTGAGTGGATCTCTGGGAGTCCAATTAGCGAGAATGAGGAGGGTTTATATGAGCGAGAATTGTTGAGACCAAGGTTGGATAAAGCACAGGGACAAATAGCCAAATGAATGGAAACACATGAACTATGAACCAATGGCTGAGGGGTCCCCACTGGATCAGGCCCTCCGAATGGGTGAGACAGTTGATTGGCTTGATCTGTTTGGGAGGCATCCAGGCAGTGGGACCGAGTCCTGTGCTCATAGCATGAGTTGGCTGTTTGAAACCTGGGACCTATGCAGGATTGCTTGGCTCGGCCTGGGAGGAGGTGACTAGACCTACCTGGACTGAGTCTACCAGGTTGACCTCAGTCTGTGGGGAAGGCTTTGCCCTGGAGGAGATGGGAATGGGGGCGGGTTGGGGGGAAGGTGAGGGGGACGGGAGGGGGGAGAACAAGGGAATCCGTGGCTGATATGTAGAACTGAATTGTATTGCAAAATAAATTTAAAAAAAAGAAAAAAAAAAGCTTCCATAGGAAACTTTTTCTTCCCCATAAGCTCAGAGAAGAGCTTTTTTACTACCCAAAAAGCCCAAAGAAAGATTTCCCAGTTTGCATTCATAGGCCCCAAAGTTAGAAAATTGAAGAGTTTTTCTGTCTAGTTGCCTTACTTATTTTTTCCTACACAGTCTTACATTTCTAAGTTTTTCCTAAACTAAATTACTACGCTATACCTTATACTTATTTTTCACAGATAGAAATTGAGAAAGCGATACAAGATAGAAAATTTTGACAGAAGAGAATTTTGCTGCAGCATCGGACATCCTTCCAGTCCGCTTTCCTTTTCTCTCAAGAATAAAACCCCTGCCTCTCAATATATATAAAAATATATATATTCCATAACACCGGCATGCCTTATCCACTGGCAGGGCTGAACTCAGCACTTTCGCCAAAAACTCTGTAATAAAACTATTATTTTCCTTTATCTTTAGTCCCTATTACTTTGTCTTTAGTCCCCCCTTTTTTTAGTCCCCCCTTTTTTCTTTTTTCTTTAGTCCGTGTTCATTTGTCTTTAGTCCCCCCCTTTTTTTTAGTCCCCCTTTTTCTCTTTAGTCCCCTTTTTTTCCTTTTTTCTTTAGTCCCTGTTCATGGTGCCATTCTGTGGGGCGTTTACCCACCACCCCCACAGTTCCCCAGAGTTTTCTTGAGTGCGAGCAGCAGGAAATATTAGATAGAAGGATTTATTGCGGAGAATATCGCAGAGATAAACAGATAGAAAATAAAGGATAGCCTCGAGAGGGCCTGGAACCTTTTCCAACGGGCCCCGACTGTCTCTGCCCCAGGGTTTTTATAGAGACACCAAGGGGTGGAGCAAAAGACCTCCTCCCCCAGCACAGCCAAGTGCAGACCATCTCAGACACCTGCACTCAGGCCTGTGGTCCTAATCATCCTCTATGCGAACCTGCTGGGTAAAGCCACGAGGAACCCGAGAATGGGCTCCCACAATTATCTAATTTTGGTTACACATTTTCTCATTATTGGAATGTCTTTTTCATTTTTATTTATTTTCTTTGCCTATTTTTTCTAAACCTACAGTCCCTTTCTCTTCATCTTCGTCATATACAGCAGTTTTTCTAATCCTCATTGAGTACTACTGGGGATTGAGGCTTCAAGAGCTGACTACTAAGAAGATCTCCAACTACAACAAACAAACAAAAAATCCAAATCAAAATATGTACAAACTGCAACACAGAAACAAACAAGAAACAATAAAAAATGATGCAACATGACTTCTCCAAATTATCATAACTCCTCAACTAACAAAATGAAAAAATACTGACATGAGTAAAATATGAAAATAGATCTCAAAAATTATTAGCAAAAATGACCAACAAACTGAAAGAGAATACAAAGAAATATATAAATGAGGCAGGGAAATTAAACCAGGACCTAGACAGGAAAGCTAGTAACATACAGAAGAAAGTCAACAACATGTATGAAATTCAAAAATAGGATGGAAAAGTCATAAACATGGAAGAGAAGTTTACCAGGAAAATTCATAATTTGAAACGAAATAGAATTGTTGGAAATAAGGATGTCAATAACCCTAAAAATGCAATAGAAAGTACCACAAACAAACAACCAAACAAAAGACACACTGTCAGATAGAGGACAAGGTCAAGAAATTACTACATTAAAATATTAGTAATGGAAAAAATAAATGAGCATGACCACAACAACCCAAATCTGGATTACTATCAAGATATCAAACATAAGAATTCATAGGACAGAGGAAGCGTCACTAAAAACTAAAGGCACACAATTCTAGTCAACAAAATGACAGCAGAAAATTTCTCAAATCTGTATAGACATCCAAACACAAGGGGCCTTTAGAAGGCATCGAAGGATGTCATAAGCAAATGGTAAAAATATAATGTTAGAGGCTGTTGGGGGAAAATGCAACCCACCCCAAATGTAAGCACATCTGAATAGTATCAGATCACTCACCAGTAGTCTTAGATCCATGAAACCACAGAATGACATATTTTAAGGCCCCAAAGTAAATAACTGCCAACAAAGATTTCTATATCCAGCCAAGCTATCAGTTCATAGCCACCAAGCCAGCACTACAGAAAATGCTTAAAATACCACAGATTGGTGGAGATAGGGAGATTCATTATGTTTCAGCTGCACAAGCATGAGGCCCCTGTAGCATGAATCTTAAAGAGTCTTATTAATAAAACAAACCCAGAGCCAAGTATTGGGGTGAAGCTGGAAGATCAGAGAGACAGAACAAGCCACAGCTAACCTCACCTGGCCAATTCCTCAGCTGATCTTGTTTCCTCAGACTGGAAGCCTCTGTGTCCTCATATCCAAATGGCTCTCAGCTGAACTGTGCTCCAAAGCCTGAAAGCTTAACCAGCCAAATGCTTCTTCTTTCTGATCTTCACACCTAATATATCTTTCCTTTCTACCACCACTCCCTGGGATTAAAGGCTCCTTTTCTGGGATTAAAGGCGTGTTTCCCCATGCCTGGCTGTTTCCAATGTGGCCTTGAACTCACAGAGATCCACAGGGATTTCTACCTCTGAAATGCTAGGATTAAAGGCGTGTGCTACCACTGCCTAACTTCTATGTTTAATATTGTGGCTGTTCTGTCTCTGACCCCAGATAAGTTTATTAGGGTGCACAATATTTTGGGGAACACAATAGCACCACAGGCCCCAAGTTTCTATCCTAGGCACCAACATAAAAGCCAGGCAAAACAGCAAGCATCTGCCACTCAAGTGCTAGATACCCTGTCTCAAAAAGTAAGATAAAGAGAGATCAAGAAAGACATCCAAGATCAAAACAATGGATTCTGTCTGCACACACTATGCACACACTCAAAGACATGTATAAAACACACACACACACACACACACACACACACACACACACACACACACACACACTCCTATACACAGAAAAGGAAGACAATCTTTTTATGAGAGTACAACAAATACATTTTATGAGAGGAATAAATGACCAAGGAGAGTGAGGAAAGTATCATGCCCAACACAGAAAACCTCTAATTCTAAATTATAGGGAAATTCTAAATTAATAGGGAAAACAATAGAACCAATAATAAAATCCAAGCAACTCAAAACACATCCAACTGAATTAAACAAATTAGCAGACCTCTGTTAATAACAATGTTAAATATAAATGACCTCACATCACCATTAAAGAGATTAGCTTAGTCTATTTAAAAAACAAGATCCAACTATCTATTCTTTTTCTGGGTATATAGCTGATGGGTTGTAAGAAATCATTTTACAGAGATGTTTCCACATGCATGTTTTTTGCTGAACTATTCACAACAACAAAGATACAGAAGCAGTCTAGGTATCCATCAATGAATGAATGGATCAACAAAATGTAGTTTTATAAACAATGGAATTTTATTGAACTATAAAGAATTAAATTACACCATTTTGGGGAAAATGAATGAAACTGAAGATCAGTATGTTAAGAAAAATAAACCAGACAAATATGAAATTTTTAATCATATATAATAATAATATTATATTCACACACATGAAACATGAAAGTAGAGATGAAAAGGGACACATGCAAAGTGTGATAAGGGAGGTAATCAAATTCAAGAGGTAACATTTGTATCAAGAATGCAGAAAAAAGAATGTAGGAAGAAGAAGGCACGAACAAGAATTGGAAGGCAGTCAAGAGAAGGCTGTGGGGAGTAAATAAGAAAGTACAATGATGTATGTATATGAAAATATCACAATGAAATCCATTCCCTTATATGCTAACCAAAAAATTATAATAAAAATTAAAGGCTATTCAAAAAACAGACAAGACAAAAATAGTAATTTTATAAAACTAACTATTGCTTTATAAAAATTCATTTTAATGATACCCAATATTTGAAAATAGTAAGCTTCAAAATTTCCAGTGGGAAAGATTTATATTAATAATGATGCAACAACAGGGATTTTTTTGGAATGGCAGTGTTTGTTCTGCATTAATGATAGGATTCAATTCATTTCATTGGTATATTTTGCTTATAAAAACTTAGGTTCAACTAAGTCTTAGCAAAATGAAAACTGCATGTATTGTGTGATTCTTCTGGAATCTGTTGATTTAAATGTATTGAATGAAGTTGTCTGAAGTTACATATGAAACAATCAACCTAGCCAGAGAATGACACAGCTGATTTTAATAAACAGATAAATGAGACTATTTCCCAATTAGTGCCAGTAAACACAAATATGCATCACATCACAAACAGACATTTAGGCAAAGAGATTTCATTTTGAGCCTTTAAACTCAAGTTTGTTAAATATGCAGAGCACAATCCTGTTTATGGTGTTTGCATTGTAGTTTCCATGGTAATTTTGAGAAGGTCATCTGAAATGATTTTTTTTTCAAGGTGAGAAAAAGGAAATCTTATAGATATTTTAAGTTATAATATTGTTAATTTCCATAATTTATGTTAATATGAAAAGCCATCCCTCTGTAATACAATTGGAGAAGTAGTGTATGTTTTCTAAATAAAGTTAGGGCCATATTCTGATGTAGACTTGTCACTGTATAGATAACTTGTACATGTCCACTAATTTTTAATGTATTTTGCTTTTCTCGGGTGAAGATGAGATGATTGTCCCCATTACTGAGGAACAGATGTGAAACCCCTTCTGTTGATTATCACTTTCTGTGAAAAGAAGTCTTTTTCTCAGAAGGTCCACAGATGTTCTTGGCATAAAGAACTCCAGTAGACAGATTATTTTGAGTGAAGTAGCCATGTTTCTTTAAGACACTCAGTATCTCTTTGAAATGGCATGGCTAACCTGACAGAGTATAAAGGTTATTCTAGAGAATTATCTCATCACATTGTGTTGGAGCATCCAAACATTCAAGAGAGATAGTCTGAAGATTCTCGTTCCTCTGATGAATTTCCAAAGTACTATCCTTACATCGCACACATGACTGGATGACCAAACTGCCATGTTCTGAAAACCGATCACGAAATTCCGAAGTCATAAAATAATACACAACCGGATCAAGGCAACAATTCAGATTTGCAAGACACAGGGAAATGATGTGGAAACACAGAGTGCTCTTAATAAAGGAGCAGTTCGAGAAGACATGTTGCTTCACCATCATAAAGAATGGGAAGTTGAGATGGTAAGGAGTGAAGCATACTATGAATACCACTGCACACATTAGGACCATCCTCAAAGCCTTTTTCCTCTCTTTAATATTCTGAGGTGGATCTTGGAATTCCTGTAAAGATTTTCTTGTTTTCCATGTGCAATATGTAATAATTACAACAGGCAATACAAACCCTCCAAGTTCAGCGGCAGTTACCATGCCAATGGAGGAAGCCATACTAATGTCATGAAGCCCTAAATCAGCAAAGCAGGATTCACTGTTGTTGGCTAAGCCAGCACTTCTCAGGATAGGAAGTGGCAAACAGGCAGTCCCCACGATGACCCAGATGGCAGCACTGATGCCCACGTCGTACCTACGCTTCCAGTTTCTGGCTCTGAATGGCTTCAGGAGAAAGAAGCACCGCTGAAGGCTGATGCATGTCAAGAAAAAAATGCTGGCATACATGTTGAGATATTTCAGATAGAAGCAGAGCAGGCAAAGGGCCCTCTGGAATGGCCAGTGACGGTTGATGTAATAGTAAATCCGGAGAGGTAAGGACAGGACGTGAGCGAGATCCGCCACTGAGAGGTTGATCATGAAAATGATGGCCTTACTCTTCTTGCTGATGAAGCGGCACAGAACCCACAGGGCTGCACTGTTAGCCAGGAGACCAGGGATGAATATTAAGATATAGGTGGTTGCATACAGAGAGTACTGAAATGTCAAACAAGTAGCATTGCAATTACTCACAGCAGTGCTGGTACTATTGCTGCCCATCTTGAATATCTCAGTATGTTCATCAAGGTGAGCTATAGAGTTACAACTCCTGCCCAAGGATATAGGTGGTTGCCAAGAGGACTTGCTGAAACAGCATTTGTAGATCAGTGCACTTTACTCTCATACTGTTTGTGCTGTTAATTACCATCTTGTGCATTTATGTTCCTTTGCATGGTGGTTTCTGTGGAAAATAGAATAAAGATAGAGTCAGAGGCAGGTCAGCACATGTGAATATGCATATTAGTTGTATTCCTACCAGAGATATTTAAATGTGATCTTTCATAAATTTGAAAGCTCTCATCTATGTCAAATTAAAATAGTGTAGCAATTTGCCAAGAGATAAATAGCAGCGAGGAAGATATTTTCAAGAATGTAAAAGATCACTGTTTTGACAATAACTTCAGTCAGGTTTTTTACTTTGACAGAGAATCATCGAAGTTGCAAAGGTAAACAACAGCCAAGATCTCAAGGCCCCAGACAAATATTCCATCGCCCTTATGAAATTTCATGTTTCATTTGTATACCTGTTTCTGCCCAAAGTTTGAGATTTTGCCAAGTTATTGTCATCAACTATGGGATAATGAACTCTTTATTCATTTTCAATAGCTACTTTATAAATTATTAGATGGTTGTTAAGGTGAGCTATGAACTCTTGTTAACGGCACATACATTAGGAGGCTAAGCAAGGGCTGGCAGCTCACCAGGCTTTAGGAAGGATAAGGTCTTAAGAAAAACAGGGCTCCCTTCTTCAAAATTTGACTGAAAGGAAGGTTTGTTTTGCTAACATCATGTTAACACCTTTTAAAACTCTTGCCACAAAAGTTCGGTGTTCATTAACAATACCATGGCAGCTTCAGACACTCATATATATTGAAACTATTTTTTTCACCATTTCAGTCAACTACCAGAACATGTGAAGCTCTAGAGGGTATCCTGTCATGAATGAAGCAAATGGGGGCTGCTCGCCTTTAGCTCTGAAACCCAGTGAAAATTATTCATGTAAATGGTTGTATTTCTAGTGGTCATAAATTTTGGAGATGTTTTTCATTTATTTAGTGACTTAATCTCAACTTAGTTATTCTTGTCAAAGACAAAATAGTCTACTCCCTATTAGACATAAAAGATCTTCAAATATCTGAAGATAATGATCATGTCTTCTCTCAAATCTTCCTTATCCAGATTCAACATTCATTTCCTAATATGACATGGTCCTTGTTCTTGGTTTTGTTTTATGTTATGACTTTATTGCTTTTGGCCAAAAGCCACCATAGTACAGCTTATTTCACCCTTGAAACAAACGTTTAACTAATAAGTGTTTGATGATTTTTTAGGAAATATGTTTTATATAGCTGATTTTAAACACAAAAGGGTAAATAACATTTTAGTGCTTCATTGTACTTTTTAATACTTGAAAGGGCAGCTAGTTTGCTACACATTTTATAAAGTTAAAGGAAAAATGAGACAGCATTAATGGCAATAAGTACTCAAGTGCAAAAGTGAAATGCATATGTTACAATGCCTCTTTAATTAGTTTGCAAAGTATTATGGTGTCTAGGACCATGTGTACAAACCTAGACACAGTCAATTAAAAATTATAAGGATGTGATCAATCCAGACAAAGCCCATGCAGTGCCAAAATCTACTTGATGTCTCTGCAGTGAGTACATGTAACACTCTGATAAACTCTATTTACTGTGCTGAAGTCAAAACCTACTTGATGTCTCTGTAGTGACTACACGTAACTCTTGGAGAAACTCTATTTACTGAGCTTAAAGTTCAGTGCAGTCAAACAACCAGGTCACTCAGGCAAACAGCTACTCTGATTTTTTTTCTCTGAGTTAAATATGCTGCTGAATCAGGCAATTGGTCCAGTAAAATGTAAATAGAGACAACACTATCACCTTTTTATAATTTCCTTGAACTAATTGAAATAATTGATATTGTGTTTTTTTATATTCAAGCTAAATTCTTTTAAATACTTGCAAACACAAACAAGGTGGAGGATTGAAATACAATCAGACAATTAGTGCTTATGATCATCTTTGGTTTAATTATAAAAATGAATAACAATTACTAAATACCCATTTTGGCCAGATTCTATAATAAATACTGTGTGTGCACTTTATCAGTCTCTGACATCAATGCTATGAAACAATAAGATAGAGTGACTGTTTTGTCAGATGAACAAACTGAGCCTTCCAAAAGGCAAGGCTCAATTCTACAAATTACAGAAGTAATTTTCCTGGCTTCACAGTATCCATAATTCTGATCATTCTCTTTAGTGAGCATCATATAATATTTCTGGCAAGATGAAGTCACTTTCCTTTCCAAGTGGTTTTGCTGTGGGAAATAGAAATCTCCCACATGCCAACTACTCATTCTCTTATTACATCTTCTCCTCCCAAATAAAAGTCAAGTAAAGTGTCTTGACTATTTGAAGGGTCTGTTGACTGTTTGTTGGGTAGATAATTTTATGAAGGACAAATGAATCTGAGAGACAGAAAGTCTCTGTGAGAGGAAGGGAATGAGTGGGAGTGAAGGAGTGTCTGGGGATTAGGATTTAGCTGTGATGTTTGACTTGACCACCAGGTGTCATAAGTACACCAATGTTCAAATAGGTTGACTCATGAAAGGAATATGTTTGAAACCCCATTAATAAAAAAATTAAAGATCAGTAGGCATCCTGTGAACTTCAGAAACAGAATCCTTTCAAGAGTATTTTAGAAAGCTTGGTTTATTATTGTTATAAGCTTGCACACTTCATAATCATTTTCTAAAGATTGCTTGGCTTCTAGATGTATTGTAGATTCCTAAATTATAGAGTTGTTAAAGGCCATCTAGATAAGAATCAATCACTTTTCAAAAGAGGAAAACAATTCCAGAAGAGGGAAACCTAAAAGTTACAAATTCACACAGAAAGTTAGTGCTAATGGCTGAACTGGGGTCTCTTGCTTCTCACCACAGAATAATATCAACTTTTCCAGGAACTTTGTAGATGGAAAGCACATTTTTGTAATTATACAATAACACAAATGTTAAGAAATGAACCAATGCCAGATTTAGACCACTAACCTTGACAGTGAACTGTTACAAAAAGAGGGATTGCTTCCTTCCAATTTTTCCAGAGCAAATACACTATGTTTAAAGGAATAATTCTAGTCCCTGGGGATAAGATTGTGTAAGAAGTCTTCTTAGAAAACTTAGTTATGTTGCTCTTAATCTTTCATTATTTCTACACATAAGGAAATGAGTACCATTAGAAAACAGATAAGCAAAGACAAAACAAATTTTTATTAATATAAAACATTCAGTTTGAGACTCTCGATACTGTCTGGTTTTACACACAGAGAGAGACATTTATATCCACAAGAGTTTCCAGACATAACATTTTAATTCATAACTTTCCAGGTAATTTTTCTATGTATAATGATTTATAAATGAGTTCATAGTTAGCCATTTTAATTGAATTTGACTTGTATATACATATACTTCTATAAACGTAGTTTTAATTACTTAATCACAATTAGGATAAAATTCCATGTCAATAACATCTAAATGATAAATTTAATGGATGTTTACATTTTAATTAGAATTATCTAATATATTTTATTTAATTAATGGACATTGTAGTACAGTACCATTTTCTTTATTATTAGAAACAATGGGAAAGTCCAGAATGGTGGTACCTGCCTACAATCCCAACATCGGGAGGCTCAGGCAGGAGGATCAGGAGTTAAAGTTCATCATCCTTTACATAAATATGTCAAAGTCACCCAGGGGCTATGTAAGATCTTTTCTGGAAAAAAAACATTAAAAGTTATGGTAAACGTTATTGCATACTCATCTTTATATATTTGAACAACTGGTTCCTTAAATTTTAAGTTGAATTGCTAGGCATCGAATCAGTAATTCAAATTATCCAAGAAGGCTTCCCATATGAAATTCCAAAGTTCATGTTCTTTAATGTAACATTACAGTGTCAAGTATGTTAGTATTGCAAATAGATCAAATTCTGTCTATCTGGTAGAAGAAGTATGATGTAGCTAACTATGACTCAATCAAATGGCATGTGAGAAATTGTGCAAGCATATGTTGAGCATATCTGTATACATTGTTAAATACTAAATCAAGCTGAATAACATATCCTTCACCTCATCTAGTTACAATTTTCATGAGAACATTTAAAATTTCCTGCTGGTAATTCTTCAGTATTCTAAGTATTATTTGTTGTTTTGTGATGGTGCACAGTAGATCTCCAGAATGTGTGACTCATTGCTTAGCACCCAGCTAAAGAATCAGCTGTAGTTAGAAAACTATGACAGTTATCTCAACATCATAATAAAAAAGAATCTTGAAAGTTCCACTTTTAATAGGCTTGAAACCACAAATCCAAATACTTTAACACATAGTTCTCAAAGTTAAACATGCCACAGAATGATCTAGAGTGAAGTTCTACCCAGAATTTTTCATTCAGTAAATCTGGGATGGAGACCAATAATAAGCATTTCTAATAATTATCCCATGTGATCACTGTTTGAAAAATCACTACCCTAACCAACTTCCAATACAAGCCAGAGTTGTTTTATCTGAGAAAAAAAAGTATTTTTTTCTTCACAAATATTATGAATCACTTTTTTTTTCTTTTCCACATTGGATATGAGGAAATTTTTTGACAAGTGCTTGGTCTAATTTCCAACATTTTGTAGTATAATCTGGCGTGTTTATCTATACTCAATTATCTTTCCCCTCTCACCATTCTGGAGAGAAATGCTTAAAAAACATTTAAGGGATATTTTGCTCAGTGGTTAAGAGCATTTGTTATTGCAAAGGGCCTGGGTTCCATCCCGCTTGGAGGTCTCACTATAACCTCGGGCACTAGGCACACATGTGGTACACAGACATACACTCAGATAAAATAATCATACACATAAAATAATAAGAAATAAATCTAAAAAAATGAAAAACAAGTAAAAGCTTCATCATGTTTAGGGTTTTAAAAATACAGTCAGGCTCTCTATTTAAATAGTAACTCTTCCATAAATGGGAAACAATGTCACTTATCTGAATTAGTTATTATTATCCATAACTAATATCTTTGAGAAAAGCTCAATGAACTTATTTCTGAAATGTCTTATACAACTAGTTCCACACAAAAGTTATTTTTAATGTTCAGAGTCACCA